TCAGTGCTTTACTATGGGGAATTTGAAGACGCTGGAATTCCTCATACAAAGAGCGAGGACTGGCAGCGTAGTTTCACTGAGTTAAACTCTGTGAAACAGCAGGAAGCGCTTCTAGTGGCTGTCTGGTAGACAGCCACTAGAGTCAGTCGTAGCCCTGCAATGTAAACGTTCTCTAAATCTGCAGTGTTTTAGATTGCAGGGTTAAGGGGACGGGGCAATGCAATGATACCACTTCAAAGAGATAAAGCGGTCTGGGTGCCTACAGTGTCTCTTTAATACAAGTACATACTCACACTGAACAGACACAGACACAAGCACATATAAACATGGACTTAAAAATACTCATGAGAGTAAAGGGGGAAACGTGAAGAGGGAGTAAAATCAATGAAAAAAAGACCATTCATTGCTCCTATCTTATCTCAGGTGGTCGTGGTGTGCAGCTGCTGTGAACAACACATTTGATCAGTTTTTTGGCTCTTGAGCACTTAACACAGTAAAGGAGTTTAAGCATGTGTGGGATAAGCATAAGGCAATCCTAACTATAAGATAAGGCCAGTGACTAATGAAAGTATTTAGAAAATTGGACAAATTAGATGGGCCGAATGGTTCTTATCTGCCGTCACATTCTATGTTTATATCTTTCTATGAGTGCTGGGACCGAAAGGGAGCAACAAAAGTGAATAGGAGGAATACCTTTTTGTGGGAAAGACCATGTGAAGAACCCCAGCTATTGCCCAACAGGATCCAAATAGTAGTGTTGCGGAACTGAAAGCTCACCAGATTGAGGAGGTAATACTCTAAAATGTCGCACAAATATACTGAACAGAACCAACCACAAGGGTCAAGAAAATAGTGTTAAGAGAAAACAATCTGAGGGGCGTGGGATCCTATGTGGAGTAATTCTTCAATGTGCTTGTTCTTGTGATCAAATATATTAAAATAATATAACTAAATGTTGATACGAGTGTGCTGATAGAATGTTTTCAGTGCCACATAGGGCGTCTTCCTCAGGGTGACAGAGTCACACCTTTTGTACACCAAGGAAGGTGCACTCTGTGGCACTGAAACATGCACTGGGAAATTCTTTCTCTATAAAGTTTCTCCACAATGCGTATATGATTGAGAGAGGGGAAGCTATCTCATGTGCACCTCATCCAGTTACACATTTAGGGCGATTCTACCTTTTAGTTAGTAAATGGTTCTTTTGGGAGGAACAACTGATGGCATTATAGCTGAGTGATTTATGTTCTTCTTTACTCATCAAGGTATAGACTGAATGCGAGTTAGAGTTCTGAATAAGTCAGGCTATCTAGTAAGGAATATCACATAGCTCAGGACTATCATATATCATGTCCGCTTGAATTCAACAAGGCTCGATCTCTTGAGAAGAGGCTTCTGGAGCCAAAGGGGCTATAGCAGCTTATGCATATCAGCTGGAGTAATAGATTGAGTCATTTCATTGAACTAACACACCAACAGGAAGGGACCGGTGTATACAGTTATGCATCTGTTGGACGAAAGATTTAGAATGGTCATATTAAATAAAACTACAATCTATTTAGGGTTTATTCTATCCTCTCCATAGTGTTCCACACAAGCATGTATCCCTAACGCAATAGTGATCTGCTCAATGGTCAAGGTATCGGTACCCACCTGTGTGAAGGAAAAAGGTAGTTTACTTACCTTTTCTCCCTCGCTCTTGTGCTTTCTCTTTGGCCAGCCCAACCTCCTTCATCCTCTTCCACCATCATGCCTGATCTATAGGAAAGCATTGGGGGTCTAGATCTAATGCCGCATTGCGCCAATCAAGTGGTTTTTACCATTGAATAGCCGAGTCTAACTCGGATATTGTGGTGTAAACGCCTCTACAGGGTGTCCATATGTCACTAGAGGCAAGTTAACCCTACAATGTAAACACTGATGTTCCTGCAAAACAGCAATATTTTAGGTAGTGAATCTATTTTACCAATATAGCCTAAGACACAAAGTAATGTGGCTTGTGCTGCCACCCAGTGGTGAATATAGTTATTGCATTGGAATAGTATCAATACACTGACAAGTGAAGTGAAAAACATTGATTATATCATTACTTTGGCACTGGTGAAGGGGTGGGGTATATTAGGCAGCAAGTAAACAGTCAATTCTTAAATTTCATAGTTGGGGGGGAAAAAATGGGCAAAACCCCTGTTCCCCACGCCTACCTAACTATTGCCGGGTCGCAACCTCCGAAAGACACCCTGACAGTCAGCAAGAACACCGGGACTGTACATACATTGGACTGGCGATTCCCAGCCCTGGGAGTAGGCTGAAGAGACACTCACCGACCAGCACGAGCCCAGACACCAAGGGACTTACTTACTTGCCCTCGCATGTATTACCGTTGGTAATGTGAACAGGGAGAGCCCCAGCGGTGTACCCCCCAGCAAACCCTAGCTATATGTTTTAAGTTTGATTACTCTATTATTATCTTACCATTTTTTAACATGTCACACGCATAGAGAGGCATCTCATATTAACTAGCTTTTTGGCAACAAGCATCCACTCTCTATTAGCCTGTGATCCTGATTGTTACATGTTTGGAATAGTTGATACCAGATAAGTATATCTTGCAGTAACCGTCTAGACAGAATACTTAACCTGTGCATGTAGCTGAAGGGAAAAACCATAATCTCTGTCCTCCAGCCACTAAAATCCCAGTTTAAAGCCCAGCACAAACAGCAACCACTCATTCTGTGCCTAGTCAGCCAAGAGACACGTCTAATCACCACCCTAACCAGCCTAGCATATACTCAATCGTACAGCCTTGTTTATTCTATGATTGTACATGTCAAGTTTTCTTCCTTTGTCACTCCTCTGAATATTCCTTCCTGACATATGCATCTTCCTCACTAATCTAAAAATGTGCCCGACTAACAAATGCCATAACCTTTATTGCAAATGCTTATATACCCATATGTCACGGTTGTGGCGCACCAAGGCTATTTTGTTACTGCAGTGCACACCAAAAATAAAGAATAAAAAAAAAATAGTGCAAGGAGAGACAACTGGTGAACCGGCATCAGGGTGATGGATACCCAAGGCTCATTGATGCACATTGGGAGCAATCAATGGCTTGCCCAAAAAGAAGAGCTACTGTAACTCAAATTGCTGAAAAACGTAATGCTGGCCATGATAGAGATGTGTCAGAACAGTTTGCTGCATATGGGGCTTTGTAGCTGCAGACTGGTCAGAGCGGACAACTCAGAGGCATTCTATAAATGATATAAGAAAACCAATAATGCATGCAAAAAGGCGATTACAAAATAAAAAAGTGATAGCCAATAAGAGCAAAACCAACCAAAGCATTTTTTATATACATAAATAAAAAAAATAAAGTATAGGTACACTAAAAACCTGGATGGGGCTATTAGTTAATGAAGACCAGGATAAGGCAGACATTTGAAATAACTATTTCTTCTCAATATAAATTAAGCAAGAACCTCTGGCTATAGATATGCAAATGATTGCTGCAAAAAACTTGCAGGAAAATTGTAGATTATACTAGCTTTAGTGTAACTATAATCTTAATTTTATTAATGACAGGAGGCGAATATTTGCTTAAGTCTCTCTTTACTAGAACTCCACAGCAGCACATTAACATAGAGATAAAAACACCAGACACAAAAAAAAATTAGGAATCCATAAAAGGCTTCTCCCAACTAACTATTTCCTCTTTCACGCTGCGACAAATGAAGTACATGAACAATACACCACAAATACAATAACAGGAGAAACAAACATAACATAACGATGAATGCCATTCGAAATTGAAACCGTGGAACCAGTGGGTGAAGCCTTGACCTTTAGTCGGATCTAAGAACTGTAGCCAAACCATTAAACTGAAACGAGATAAACAAAGTTGAAAACACTGATTAGCGAATGAAATGTACTGAGAAAACATGAATCCCCATTGTAAATACTGACAGTACCATATCCCAGATAAACCCCAACTCCCCCAGATAACCAACCTAGCACAGGAGACCAGGTGAATAAACAACAAGTCAGTCAAACCAACAAACAACAAGGGGAGGGAGAAACTGGGAGGGAAATATTCGCCTCCTGTCATTAATAAAATTAAGATTATAGTTACACTAAAGCTAGTATAATCTACAATTTTATAGCATGACAGGAGGCTTCATATTTGCTGTTTTAACGCTCGGACAGCAAAGACCAAAGAAACACGATCCGCCGTACCAACATAAACTCTGCGAAGATAGCTCCTTGTAACCGGCAGGAAAGCGTACGATGTCTTGGAGAAAAATGCCTGCCATGTCGGTACCTGAAGTCGCCGTGTTATGGACTGAAGTGAAACGAAAAACCTATACGCCCTGCCAATGCCAACCACAACCAAGCGGTACATGAAGGGAGAGAAAAAGGGAAGAACCATTTAAACAAACGGTGATGTCGAACACCGCCTAAAGGTGGGAGCGCTACCAAAGTAAGAATATGACCCTCGGGTCCGACTAAGGCTGATAGACAACTAAGGTCCGAACCACCGAACCCATCTGAAAGAAAAACAAGGGATAATAACGGAAATAAATCCAGAATCAGTGAATGGGCAAAACCCGACAGAACCCACCATAGGAGCATGACAAAAATGCATGTACCCCCTGGGGAAATGAATACCCGTCCTCAGGAATCGTAAAGGGAATTCAAAGCAGAGCGAGGCCCGCCGACAACAGTCCTACGCGCTACCTAATCTAATTAATATGGCAGTCCCCGGTAATAAAGTGACCGAACAATACCCGAACCCTGTAAAAGCGTTAGCAAAATTAGGGGATCCGTACCAGACCCAACTACGTCAGGGTCACCATGCAGACCGAAGTCTCACACTCCCCGAGATCAAATGAGCAAGGGTCCAGGGAATCCAGGAGCTAGGTTCAACTCTGCATAAGCGGAGATCATAATTCCAAAGTACCAGCATACCGAGGCACCTGTAGAAAGGTCCTGAGACCAAACAAATGGAGGAGACTTGTCCGCGTCTCCGTGTCGAACACTCCTGGAGGGAAGCGTCCATCACTGAGAAAACATCCAGCCAAACTGGTCAGGGCCTGAAGGGTCCTCCTCCGTGGACTAAAGTCTCGAACAAGGGAAAACGCAATGAGCGTCTGACCTTTCGGTCTGGGAGGTACCTCGCAGGGGTCCTGGTAGACCGTACAGCAAGATGTCCTATATCGATGAAGAGTCGCGTCCGGGTCCCAACGCGTGGAAAACAAGAAAGATCTCTTCAGATAGTTCTGGTATTCCTGAATGTCCTCAATTCCTCCCAACCTGCCAACCAGGTTGTATTGTCGCCCAAATGAATGATGCACAGAGATACCTATCTCAACAGGGAGAAAATAGAGGCCACCCTACCAGAACTGGGCCCCACAGTCCCTAGAAGTTTCTTGAGGGCCGTGTCTAATTCAAAGTAACTAATGAATATACGTTCAATCGTAGACTCATGCTGGGACTCCGAGGGGCTCAGATCCCTTTATCCCAAGCACCTCCAGCGGTCCAAATTGCGTTTAGGATAGGGTCGTCTGCCACCCCAGACTCAGGGCCCCATCTGGGATGTCATCCGAAAGTGGAGGCAAGTGTGAAATTCCGGGTCAAGGGTCCAATCCCCTATAAAAGGTACGGGTTGGAGCTGAGATAAGCCTCCGTCAAATATTTCCATGTAAAAAAGGACACATCTTATACTTCCTCGTATGTTCCACTAGCACAACTCACTCGTGTAGCGGAGAACAATCGGCTTGCCAGTGCGGACTTAATAGTATAGGCACTGCAGTGGGCCGCACTCAGGATCTCCTGAATACTAGACAGGTGCTTAACCAGCAAAACCACAGTGTCCCATCGGGGTCTAGGTCTGGGTTTGCGGCTACTTTGTTCGGGAGCCCGGCTGGGAATACTGCTCGAATTATCCTGCGGGCTTCTCAAGCCAGCGGTCTACGGGCCCAGAAAGGCACCGATGGTGCTAGGTGATCGGGCAGAGACCATTCCAAAGAAACCAGGTGAGCAATGGATCGAGGGTCGAACAGGGGTTCGTTTAAGGTGATTCCCGAGATGACCTCTTCTTCACCCCTGTGCCACATAGGCAGTGTCGTCTGGCCATCAAGGCCGATCGTATCCAGGCTAGAATCTTCTCCGGAGTCTAATCTTTCCAAGCGTCTGGTTCCGGGCCTTCACCCTACCCGTAGTGCTTATGTGCCCTTGTCTGCTCTCCACTCCGTCAAGTCGTCTGCCTTTTTAAGAAGGTGGTCACTGCCGCGTCCGGTGGTCATCACCTCCCCCGCGCCATATAGGCAGGGCTGTCTGGCCGATTGCAGAGGGGTTAGCCGCTCCTCTGAGTCTTATCTTTCCGGGAGCCTGGTTCAGGGCATTCACCCTTCCAGTAGCGCTCATGCGCACTTGCCTGCTCTCCTCAAGGAGAGTCTGACTCATTCAAGTCACTGGTTCAGGGCCTTCACCCTTCCAGTAGCACTTATGTGCCCTTGCCTGCTCTCTTCTAGGAGAGTCTGACTCATTCAAGTCGCCTGCCGTTTTAAAGATGGGCCCTCTAGCGTTACGCTCCTGATAAGCTTAAGGGAGGACCCTGGCTGAAGCCTAATCCCACGGAGGCGGTCACTGCCATAGTAGTCATTGTCTGTGCTGTTAACCCGGATAAGAGTTCTCCTGTGCAGTGGTCCCAGGCAAAGCGACCTCAAGGAGTATAGAGGACAAGTGTCACCAGCAGGGAGATGGGGCAGCACTCCATATAGTGACTGAGGCAAGTTGGGCAGCGCATGCAATGCACAAGTGGGAGTATGTGGCAGTAGGCTTGGCATGCAGACATTCTGGCACAGACATCACAGGCCAGATCAATGGGGCACAGACAAAGCAGGCCAGTCAATGGGGCACAGACAAAGCAGGCCAATCAATGGGGCACAGGCAGAGCAGGCCAATCAGTAAGGCACGGACAAAGCCGGCCAAGTCCTGGGGCACAGACAAGTCAGGACCTTCAGAGATGTACAGGTGAGGAACTGTGCATTCCATTCTTCCGATAAAATGATAAGATTAATAGCACATAACTTCTGTTAAGTCCATGCCATTTTTGTCTTTTATCACACCCACTTTGGCATGAAAGGTAACTTTTAGATCCCCAATTTTCTTGAATAGATCTCTTGACTTTCACATTCTGTTATCTTCTTCTATCTCTTTACATTGCTCATTGTAGAATGTCTCCTTATCTCTTCTTGCTATCCCTTGGAATTCTGCATTCAGTTGGACACATTTTTTCCAATCTCCACTACCTTTCGCTTTCCTTCTTTCCTGGGCTATTTTTAAAGCCTCATCAGAGAGACAGTTTGCCTTCTTAGATTTCTTTCTTTTGGGGATATTTTTTCTTGCGGTTTCCTGGATAATATTGCAAACTTCGGTCCAAAGTTCTTCAGGCATTCTATCGTCCATGTTTAGTCCCTCAGGACTCAGTAGGGCGGGGTAATTACACACTCATTTAACAACTAGCTACAACTTATTATTTTTCTTTTTTTAATTTTTGCAGCAGTTTTAGGTGAAAGGAACCCAACCCTATGTATTGTGCCTTTTGAACACATGGAAGCTTTATTGGACACTTCTAAACATTTTGTCAGTTTAACTTGGTTTAATTAAGACAAGCTCTTTAGACAAAAACTTGCAGTTCACTATTTACTTAAAGGGGGAATGAAGGATGTTGGCCTGTGGCTCAATTTGATGTTGCGTTAAGAGGTTGCCAACATAGCCAGTTAGTGCTGTTGGTGTTTTTAGTTCAGTAGGAGCTACGAAAAAAGGCTAGGTTGGCCTCTCAATGACGCCCAATGTAAGTGGGCCAATTTGTGTAAATTCCAACATATATGCTCTTACTGCAGTGGAAAGCACTCGACATTTCACTGCTTCAAAAGACTCGCAGCAATATACAGTCAGGGGAGACAACAAGTTCACAAAAGCGTAGACGCCAGTGAAAGCTAAATAGTTGCTTCTTTATCTACAAATGTATCCAAACAAATTTAGAGCTAAGTTAAGGTTTTTCAAGGATTTTCTGAATGTTTTCCAATTCCAAGCTTAATGGTTCTGGCTGTGTTTTTAAAAATAATACAAAAATATATCTGTGATTTGAAAAGGCGCTGAATTGAAATATATTTAAAATATAAAATGCAAAAAAAAATCCTGCTACCACTATATGCTTTTCAAATACCACCCACACTCCAATCTCTAGTGTAAAGTGACCTGTGTAGGTAATTAGTGGAAAACAAAATCAGACAAAGCTACAGTGTAGGGCTAAGTGTCAGAAGTGAGTAAAACACTCACCCTTAACAAATGCTGAAATACAGGTGTTACTCCAAAAATCATATATACATATAGTGCAAATTTATTTAGGAGTGGAAATCACTTGACATTTCATTGCTTCAATAGACTTGCTTTACAAAAGCATTGACGCCAGACGCAAGTTAAATAGTTGCGTCTTTATCTGCAAATGTATCCAAGCACAAAGCTAAGTTATTGTTGCAGGTTTTTTTTTAAGGTTTTGCAATTCCAATTTTTGATGGTTCTGGATGCTTGTTAATAACCTTAAAGGAACACTATAGCATTAGGAATACGGCACAATGACAGTGCCAGGAAAACAAAGCCGGTTTACTGGCATTATATGTTTCTAAGGTGCTCCCCTCCCGTGGCGATGATGGGGTTAAAACCCCTTCAGTCACTTACCTGAATCAAACATCGATGTCCCTCATTAGGCTCCACCCATTCTTTCCACCGCCGTCAGCAGGTGAGGGAGACCTAATGCGCATGCGCAGCAATGGCTGCGCTTGCATTAGGATTTCCCCCTATGGGGAAAAATCTGATGCTGGAGGTCCTCATGCAGAACGTGAGGACATTCAGTGTCCGATATCGTACCAAAGGTCCGTTTAGATTCCGGAAGCCCTCTAATGGCTGTGTGGGAGAAAGTCACTGAGGGCAGACTTAGAGCTGCAGTGTAAACATTGCAGTGTCTGTGAAACTGCAATGTTTAACATTGCAGCACTAAATACAAAAGGGACACAGCACTCAGACCACTTCAATTAGCTAAAGTGGTCTGGGTGCCTACAGTGTCCCTTTAATAATGGAGTTGCTGGGCTCTGTATTAGATCCTACCAGGATCTGACAGTCGTATGATGTGAAACCACATTATAATGTAATGACAGGCAGCTGTGACAGTATTAGCACTTATATTCATGCGTAATGACAGTGTTTATTATGTGCTGCATCCTCTCTCCTCTCTGTTATCTCGCTGATGTTCTCAGCACGTAATATGTGCGTAATATTTATAATGTAAATAGGGGAATAGAGAAATAAACCCGGAGAAAGGCTTTGTGGTACTACAGCCCACTTGGTGCTTTGCCAACATAAGGTTTTTCAAAGCATCATGGGATTTGTAGTTCTACCATACTGCCATTTGGCAACCATTGGCTTTAATTAAAACAGTTACATCCTCTAACTGCAGGTAAATGACAGAATTGTCATTGAGATGTCCGTCATGTATGCTTCAATGCCTATGGTATTATGACAGCACTTGCCAGCCACATAAAGTGAACCAGCTTTTTATTAAGTTTTATTTTAATTATCTCAATATAACAAAGGATGTGGGCGTGCTTTTGTTGAGGGGGAGTGAAAAGGCAGCATTTTATCCTGAGACCTAGACAGCAAATGTCTTAGGTTGGCCCTGGTCCCTACTTCAATTTATGTATTTTATGGAAACCACAGCTCTCGGGAATAAAATTAAAGGATCACTATAGGGTCAGGAACACAAACATGTATTCCTGGCCCCATAGTGTTAACATGACCATCTAGCCCCCCTGGGCCCCTCATACCTCCATAAATATACTAAAAAGCTTACTGTATTCAAGCCTGAAGCTGTAAAACTGCATGCTGTTAGACTCAGAAAAACAAGCAGTCTGCTGACATGTGGTAGCCTGATCCAATCACAATGTTTCCCCATAGGATTGGCTGAGACTGGCAAAGAGGCAGATCAGGGGCAGAGCCAGCATGATTCAAACACAGCCCTGGCCAATCAGCATCTCCTCATAGAGATGAATTGAATCAATTAATCTCTATGAGGAAAGTTCAGTGTCTGCATGCAGAGGGAGGAGATACTGAATCACAGGATTCTCTGCACAGTGCCCTGTGCTCTGCTGACAGCAGATCTGAGTGGATGGAGGCATATTATGCCTCCATCAACTCCGAAGTCCCTCTGGTTCACTCTGAGTGACTGCAACTGGAGGTGTTCCTAGCTTTCAATGTACATGAGAAAGGCTGCAGGGAGCTATAGTTCTCACCTCAACAACCTCATTAAGCTGAAGTTGTTCAGGTGACTATAAAAGAGATCCAGACACAGGAAGATATATAGAAGCACATTAGATCAAGTTTATTTTTGGTGACTGAGCTTCTTTAAATCTGTTTTTCAGGATATTGAGGTTGTCATGCGAACGTTACAAAAGGAGTTGGAGCGTGGTAGAATATCGGGTCCTTTTGAAACTCTTTGTGCAAATATTTGTTGCTGGCCTCTCGGTTTAATTTCAAAGAATGTGAGATTCCTTCTACCAAATTCATCATATATCTTATCCGGCTCATGCTTCATTACATAATGAGTTTGAGGAGGACAGTTGCTCAGTGTCCTATACATTTTTGGTTGCACTGAATGTGCTGGTTTGGACCTGGTGCTCTTTTAGCTAAATTGGACATGGAGTTGGCCTTTAGATTGTTATCAGCGCATCCAGCTGGTTTTAATTGCTTTGGTTTCTCATTTCTTAAATTTTACTTTGACAAATGACTCCCTATGGGCTTTTCTATTCCATGTTTGGACGTTGAAGCATTCTCTTCTGAGTCGTATTTGTCTTCAGTTTGATTTTTTGTCTATATGTCCTAGCACAGGTGATAATTGTGCAATGCTGTTGGCACTTTTTTTTGTAATTTATCTAAATAGTTTGGTATTTCTTTAGATCAGGACAAAATAGGCCAGTGACTTGTTTTTACACTATTGAGTGCGGGAATTAAGCTTGTGTCAAAACTCAATACTTGGGTGCAGCCATTTTGTTTTCTTATGAATACTACAGCATTCAGGGAAAAAATAAAATGAAACAGATTCAAACGCAGGGAAGCAAATAAAGTTTATTTTTGGTAACAGAGCCTTTTTAAGTCAGAAATTGATTTATTCTTGTCATTAAAGATAGCAACAGTTAAGAAGTTTCAATCACTTCTTGGTTTACCGGGTTTTGCAGGTTGAGTCATGCCAATAAGAATATTGTGCAGAAAGATGCCTTTGGCCTGTGCAAGGAAAACATTTTTTTTAGGGTGTCAGCAGAGATTATAAAGTATTTGCAAGTGTGGAAACATTTCTTGCAACATTCTAATGGTTGTCATTTGCAGCATGATTTTCATAACAATGAAGCATAGCAATTATTTGTTCTTAGTTGTGTTCGGTTTGGCTTTCATTGCAGCTTTTAGGATTAGTGAACTACTTAGATTTAGTAAATTTAGAGTGTGAAGTTTGAAGATAGGTGATGTGTTTAAGTTTTTTAAAAACTGATCCGTTACAAAAAGGTAGACGGACAGGGAATGGTCTCCAACAAGCGTTTCATTAGTCTCACTCGTGCTATGCCCAGGAAATGTAGGACTCTAAAACAATACTCCATGCATGGTCGACTGGATGATTGACAGGCAGCCTGGCATGCATTAAAGGACCACTATATTCACCCAGACCACTTCAGCTTAATGAAGTTGTCTGGGTGCCAGGTCCAGCTAGGGTTAACCCCCTTTTTTTTTTTTACATGAATGCATGCGCATTCAGCCGATGACGTCGCTATGAAGGAGGAGAGGAGGAGGAGAGCTCCCCGCCCGGCACTGGAGAAAGGTAAGATTTTAACCCCTACCTCTCCCCAGAGCCCGGCGGGAGGGGGCACCCTCAGGGCACTATAGTGGTCCTTTAACACCGAACTGACCTGCCATAAATCTGTGTGGACTTTAAGATCATATACACACAATATACATATATACATTATATATATATATATATATATATATATATATATACACACACACACACACACACACACATATATATACACACACATATATACACACACATATATATACACACATACATATACACACATACATATACACATACACATATATACATACATACATACATACATACATATATTTATTTACACACACCAAAAAAAGAAAACTACAATTTATTGGTTTAATTCAAATTTAAATGAAATTGCTCGACTATACCAATGCAAGGACTCTCGCTGAATTTACTTACAAACTGCCTTTAGACCATTTTTTGGGGGGATCCAGTACAACATATACCGGAATTTTTAACGTTTTCTAGCAAAGAGAGAGAGTTTCCTAGATTTGAATGACTGCCATTTGTTTGTACTTGAAATACCTCACACACCATGCTGGTGTAATGGGTGGAGTTTGCACTGTGGCCTGTCTGAAACAGAAATTCCCAGGCTTGACCACATTCCTCGTTGAAAAACCATTTTCGTTGAGTAAAACAACCCACCTCTTTTTTTTTTTTTTTATAGTAGAGATTGTTGCAGGTCTCTCACAGAATTAGACATTAGTCTTATGAATAAAAAGATGCAACCAAATCCTCTGTGGTCAGGGAAGAAAGACAATTTTCTTTTTTTTGATACCAAGAGCAAATGGTCAAGTAGGTATCATGCCACTGGCTTAGTATTAATGTGGATTTCTGAACAACAGTCTTTCTTGGATTGAGTAAGGATCATAGACAACAGAGAATCATAGAAATAGGAGAAAGTGGATACCTTAACATTGGATTATCTCTGATAAAATATGTTTTTGAGATGAAATCTAGTGGAGGCAATGAGAACATATGGACACTGGATGGTTTGGGGATAATAGATAGAATACACACATAATAGGTTTCATTCATCATTACTGCCACACATATTGAGATAAATGGCCAGTACACAATATAAAGAGCCGGTCAATGCAGCCAAATCATTCATATCGTAAGCGTTCAAAATAGACAAACTAGAATTATTTTTTTTTTAAATGAAATATCCAGCTCAAAAGGGATCCTCCCCCTCTATTTTTGCTATTGTGACATGTTTTCATGTCCGTGATCATCCCCTTACAGAGAATAAATCCTTTAGATATTTTAAGTTTATTAGCCCTTGTTATTAGTTTACTAAATATGTGACAATTGCTATTTCAAGATATTTTGTAGACCTAAAAAATAAATAAAAAATAAAAAGATAAACATGTCTGTTTTCTTGTTTATTTATAGAGGTTGGCTTTTCTCTTTTACAGTTCCAAAAAAAATTTGCATTCAGTTTTGTTAGACAAAAAAAAAAAAATAAAATAAAAAAATAAAATAAAAAAAAAAGGTCCTCTCAAAAAGGCATTACAAAGTCAAAATGGCTGCCACTGAGGGTTGTTCCCTTATCCACCATCCAGAGTCTGCCATGATAGCAAAGTCACTGTCCGGAATACTGACTCATCAGATCAGGGAAGGAATGCTCCACTTTCCTGGGCATTCTTAGTCCGATGGAAGCAACATTAACCTAAAAATACAGGTGTGCTAGGCACTGGTTAGTTCTAAATAAGTGTTACCCCAACCCCACAATAAAAACTGTGACATTAAAGGATTTTAACCTTAGAAATGTGAAAATACAAGTGTGTTAAGATAACTTCTAAACTTTAGAAGAGTTAATAGTAATACAAACAAAACAGTCTAAATAAGCAGCCTTTTTATACTGGTTCTGAGCACCCTCTTGCCTGCAGACAGGGTATCCAACAGACCCATGAACACAGCAACTACAATTGTGACATGTCTGGGAAATCCATGAATAGCTCATGTTCCTCAAACCAACATAAATCGTTAGTTAATGATTAAGGGAGATTTAACCCTACATGCCCAGCATGGGGGTTAACTATCAACACAGCTATGCTATTAGAGTCTCATCATTAAAACAACAAAAAACAGTGTACACATTATCGACAGCTCTGCAATTCAGTCCACCATGCGTGTGTGAAGCATTACTCGCTGTTACTCTGGCACGACTGGTTGGGCTGCGATGAAAGGGTGAGTGAGGTCAGAATCCTCCCCACTTGTGCACATTGAGAAGACCAAAAGATTCTCCGGTTAAATCGCCAAACAAACACTTTTTTTTCCACAGTAGATACACGATTGGCAGAGACTATATTGTACAGGTATCTCTGAGGAAGTAAACATCAGGAGGTTGCATTGAGAGAGTGTGGGCAGAACCTCCTCCTGCCATTTTCCTGTATCCAGTATTTTAATTTGCAGTCTTCAGCTAGTGCCTTTGTAAGAAAATATTAGTTTGGCAACAGTCAGACGCAGAGATTCCATAACAATGTCTATGAAGCCCCAGCATGAAGGTCTCTCACTCTTTTCCTCAGGTGACTGCAGAATTCAAACATTGTAGCAGCCAAGCTTTGGTGAATAAGGTAACGAGGTAGTCGACCCTACACAGAAAAAAAAAAATCATCAAAAAAACAGAAAAAAACACAACATATAGGAAGATTAATACTAAGGATGCACCAAAATGAAAATTCTGGGCCGAAAACGAAACTTCAGGATGCCCTTGGCCGAAAACGACTTTTCCCCTAAATGATTTGGGTAGGGTATGTAGTGTGTGTATGGAATATAGTGGGGTGTGGGAAAGGGATGTAGTGTGTATATTTGTAGGTTATGTAGTGTGTGTAGGGCACATAGTTTGGGGTCATAGGGATGTAGCATAGGTAGGACACAGTGTGGGGTGGGATAGGGATGGCAAAGTAAAGGGGTGACAGAGCGTGGGAGAGAGGGAGTGACAGAGCGTGGGAGAAAGAGGTGGCAGAGCGTGGGAGAGAGGGAGTGAGAGAGGGGGTGACTGGTGGCAGGGAGAGGGTGACGAGTGACAGAGCGGGAGGGGGTTAGTAATACCTTTCATTTCCTGGTCGTCCAGTGTCCTGACTCCCTGGTGGTCCGGTGGGCTGTCTCTCCAGACTGCATCTCCGCCGAGTGTGAGCTGCAGACTGTGCTCGTGATATCCAGAAGTCAGAGCGTTGCCGTGATAACCGTCAGCAACGCTCTGATTGGCCAGAGATTGCGAGATGCAGCACAATCTGCAGCTCACACCGGGCGGACCTGCAGACTGTACTGGCTCTCTCCCCAGGCAGACGGGAGGGGCCTCACACCCGACGGCACACAGGGCAAGCTGCCTGGCCCTCTCCCGATGTCGGGCCTCAGTCATGGACCAAGGGCCTGACAAGTCACTCTGCTCTATTTTCGGCAGATTTTACCCATTTTTGTCCGAAATGGGATAGGCCCATGTTCGGATGAAAATTTAGTTGCATCCTTAATTAATACACTATGGGGGTGTCTGCTTATTCCTAATTAAAAGAGAATAACCATGTACATAAACTCACATATACTTAGAAACATTTTTAAAATTGACCAAAAGACCACTAGTCTCAAAAAGAAATAAGTTAAGGATCAAACCTTTATTAATTGTGGAAGCCAAACAATGAACAACATCTAGTGATAGACAAGACAAATCATGTGAATAATCCATAAAAATAAACAAATACAAATCTGTGTAAAAAAACGTGAAAAGCAGCATTTATAATTTATTTGGGGTAATTGCAGCTATTATAATGGCGGCGAACTGTTAAGCTATACAAAATGTAGTTTATAGAATATAACAAATCCTGTTGCTAAATCTTGATACTATTGTAACATACAACTATTAATAAGCTCTCATATCCTGCGCCTACGTCATGGATATCACTTGAAATTCCTGACGAAGGTGCAGAAGTGTCAGGTTTCTTTACAATATGCAATTTTAATATTGATTCACGTTTTTCATTAAGTGGAGGTAGGGACCTTGTAGTCTGTGTATGAGGTATTGTCCATTGTCTTCATTATTTGAGCCCATAACGCCAGCAGGTAATTGGGAGTTGCAGGTACAGATGGAGGGCTGGTGTAGAAAGCACTATTTAGTTATCAACTCCCACTTTTACTTTTTGTGAGTCCTTCCCTAACCACACTCTCTCACATAATATCAGAGTAAGTTGCAAATGCATTGATTCCATATTACCCATCATGTTGGACTCTAAGTTTCATTAGACCCTTCTGGGTACCCCAACCCACTGAGAAGTCAATTCTCACGGTTAATTCATACTATTGGCGGGACAGCTCTAATTAGGCGATCATACAAATGAGCCATGCTCTAGAAATCAAATCATTTTTGAGGACTGACTTCTGGAGAGAAGACCAACTCATTTTCTCTCCATTATACATACTGATCACTTGTGTGTGTGCAGGAAGGTACAGACCCTGCCATCCAACATTTTCTGTTTTTCTATTTATGGTAATTTGGTCTCTAATCTATGTCCTCCTCATAGGTCATCCTATATTTATATAAATACTATAGACATTGCGACTATTGGTCTTCATTGGGATATACATTACAGCTATGAGAGCTTATGAGTAGTTATATGTTACACGAGTATCAAGATGTAGCAACATTCTATAAAATACATTTGTATCACGAAACACACATAACTGCCATTATTATAGCAGTAATTACACCCAATAAATTATTAACTCTGCTTATCACTGTTTTTTCACAGATCTTTATTGTTTCGATCTGGGGATTAATCACATGAATTGTCTCGTTTGTCACTGTTATTTATAGTTTGGCTTGCTCAAATAATAAAGGTTTTGCATTCTAATTTATTCCCTATTAGATTAGTGGATTTTTGGTCTATTTTCTCAATTTTTATAAGTATCACAGTGAAATGGAAAACAAACCAAACACAATAAGAGCTGTAATTTAGAATGGAGACAAGGCCTTTTTTTTTTTTTATTGCCAATGGGCAGTGAGGGAAAAGCAGCTAAGAAAGTGAAAGTGAAGGAAGGGACTTTAGATGTAACTCTCCAGGCCCCCCAACCCGTCCCTCCACAAACCTGGTCAGCTCAGGTCAAATTCTAACTGGGGTGATCAAACACTTTGCAAAAATACAGTAATGCCCTTTACTCTCAGTTTGCCAAGTTCTATAGTCCACGTGGTAGGCTGAATTTTGTCATGAGCCACTGCCCTCCGAGTAGTCAGCGTGAATTTACCTATAAATTTGTTGTCATGGAAAAGGTAAGCCTCCACTTATCTTGACAGCAGGTATGTCCACAAGTTTACGCAGAATACCACTTACGTTTCCCCCCCCATTAGTTCCCCAAATTGATATACCTTATGGAATTCCCACCACATTTGAAACAAAGTGCCTCCAGCACAGATCTGTGAATTATGTCATTTTTACAAAGGAGGCGCATTAGCCCAATTATAAAGAATGAATATAGCGCATGCTCAACTCCCCTGGACATTAATTATGATTGCTGTTGACGTGTATTTTTTTGTATGAGTTAAATATTAAAATACATACTGGAAGGGTTAGTTTCAAGAAAGGATATAAAGCAACATTTATTTGTGACGCTATCTAGTACAAGTTACGAGTATTACCAGTTGTGTCCAACTTTGGCCATCACAAACTGAAGTGGATTACTAAAATGTACTGTGTGATAAAAAAAAAAAAAATAAAAAAAAAAGAAATGCTCAAGAATTAAAGGGACACTATAGTTACGCCCAGACCACTTTGTGTCATTGAAGTGGTCTGGGTGCAGTGTCCCTGTCCCACTTAGTCGTGCAATTTAAATCATTGTAGTTTTAGAGAAAATCCCCAGCGTCCGTGAAATCCCCACAGGAAAGCATTGAAGCAATGCTTTCCTATGCGGAGGGCTTAATGCGCTTGCAGTGCTTGCCCCGCATGGGCATTAACCCCCTCGTTGGAGGAGGCAGAGCGAAACCCAGTACCAAGGAAAATCGGTGCTGGATTTGGGTGAGTGGGGACCAGAGGGCCCTATAGTGTTTCTAACACTATAGATTCACTTTAATGTAAACATTTGTAACTGTAGTTAAATTTAAATGTAAAATTTGCAACTAAGGTAAGACTGCTTTTTATTTATGAGAATGTAAGCTTGTTTAAGCAGGACACTACACCCTCTGTTCCTATGCATCCAACTCGTCTGTCAGTTCACCTATTGAAGAGCACTGCGGGATTTGTCGTCACTTTATAAATAATAATGAGAAGAGATTGTTGCTACCATCTCTATACTTTCCGCTGAACACCTTGAATGCTTTCATCTTCCCTTACCTTCAGATCTGTGTTGAGGATCCAGATGAAAGTACAGACCGATGGATTTCTGGGGTTCTTTATCACGACAAACCCTCCAGGGCCATTTTCCCCACTGAAGGAAGAAACAGACAAAAGGTTTGGTTACACACACACACAAACCTCTTATCCTAAAGCTCAGTCCACTTATACATATGACAGACATTCTGAGCAATTTAAATGCCAAAAGGCACTAAGCTCTGTGACAAAATGTATGGTGGTAATGATAGGGTTAATAGTTGGTCAGATTAGCTACAGGGATGTGAGTTTCTGGGCAGAAGTAGTGACACCATAACAATGTAATGTAGAGTTTTACTAGGTAATGTTTAAGTTGCAGCTCACTTTTTCAGACAATGTAAAACATTTACATTTTGCCAAAAACACTCCTCCTAGTGGATATCAGACTGACAACCACTAGAAGCACTTCCTACACCGTTATAGTGTTCCTGTCTCTAGTACTACTAGGTCCCCCCCTCCTGAGCAGAATACCACTCTCTAAAGCTTTTCATAGAGAAGCACTGGATTTGAAGCAAAAATTGGCAGAGTGTGGTGATTGGCAAGCATGATGCCTTCCATTCCTAATGCTTCGCTATGAGCAGAATTGGATTACAAAGTGATCATTAAGCAGGCTGCCATCACAGAAGGCAGAGGACCGACCAGACGTTGGATTACAGGTAAGTTTAAAGTCTTTAAAAAAAATATTAAAAAAAATAAAAAATTTTATATATATATATATATATATATATATATATATATATATATATATATATATATATATATATATATATATATATATATATATATATATTTGTGTAAGGGGCAAAATAGCCATATATGGAGTAAGGATCCAGCATAAGCTTAGGATAGTGTAAAGGGAGCAAGTCGGTTGTGGTGTGCCGATACCGACGATACGGTAGGCCTGTAAATAAAGAGGGCCCACCAAGGAGTAAGAAAGTAAAGTAAATGGAAAGAAAAGAGAAAGTGTTGAAATGAGGAGTGGGTGGGAGGGTCATTCTGATGCTGACCTCAAGCGATATGAGTCAGGTAAGGGGTGTCCCTTATATAGGGGAGTGAATTAATTTAAGCCCCTCCCACAAATACAGGCAAAACTGCCTTAATACTTGTGTAAGGGGCAAAATAGCCGTATATGGAGTAAGGATCCAGCATAAGCTTAGGATAGTGTAAAGGGAGCAAGTCGGTTGTGGTGTGCCGATACCGACGATACGGTAGGCCTGTAAATAAAGAGGGCAAAAATGAATAATCAAAGATTTAATACAGTCAACAAATATATACAAATTAACCAGACATTTCCTTAAATGCATTACAGTATTTAATTCCTGAAAGGATTTTGAAGGTAGGAATCTAGGACCGAAAGTGGGCACCATTTGTTGTGGGTAGGATAGTATGTTATCTCTACTGTTGGTGCATGTTGACTCATTTCGGAATGTGGTAGAGCCAATAGGTAATGATATATGTGTTTACGTACGTGGGATCGTTGAAGACAATGATCTGTCTGAGTGGTGGTGATGGTAGTGGATTCTCTGGCCTGAGAAAGGCATAAAAGGCAATGTGCATGGCTGGTAATGGCCGACTTGGTAGTATAATTGAATGGTTGTAGATCTAATAGGTCCGATAAGGATGAAAAGTTGGATGGCTATTGGTAATCTCTGAGAGGAACGTGGAGGAATGGATTCCTGAAAACCTCTGAGTATATTCTTTTCTGGTATGATAGCACGAAGTTTATGGTAGTTTTGGCCATAGGTTATCCTGTGTTGTTGAATGCTTGTAAAATATATCATTAATGGTGTATGAGATAGTTTAAGTTTAAGTTTAAGGTGGCAAAAATAAGCAAAACTTAGGAGAAATTTTGTGACACAGGTTGAGCTATGTCGTGTTCCAATGAGATTCTTTAAGCCAGGTGAGAAGCTGTGTTATGCGTTCTACAAGTATGGGACGAAAGTGATAGGTGGGATAGTGCATGCTATGCTGCATGAATATGTCTAATCCATGATTTTGTCTCTGGAATGAAAGAGTGGACGTGACTGTATGGGCGGCTGTAGGAAGCGTATGATGAACATGCCTGGAATATAAATGAGACAATTGTCGGCAGGGATGTATACCCCCGTCTGGTACATGAAAGTGAAATGTGATAAGTGGCCAACCAAGTGAGTTTCCCAGAAACATCATGAACTTATGGATGAGTAGTGGCGTTTGTTGATGATATGATATGTGCTTAGTTGTCTGAGTAACAACGGATTGATGACCCTGACCATGATTTACCCCATGCCACAGCAGCTGCTACAATGGGGTAGATCTCCCAAAGGGGCTGAAGTGGTGGAAAAATGTCCAAACCTGGATGCCATGGCCAACAGCTCCAAAGCAATTGTTCCCGGTAGATCGCTGCCAAACCAGTGGTATACGCTGCGTCTGACCATCTGGTTGGAGAAGTGTCAGACAATCCTGGAAGGAACATGCTTTTACCATGCCAAGTGGTTAAGAAATCCCCCCCCCATGTGCAGGTCTGCTGTTGCTGAGGTGTCTAGGCACCTCCTCTGATCGTCATGTTGGAAGTGTGGAAAAAAGGGGAAAGTACTCTGGATGTGAAAGCATGGTCTTGTGGTATAATTGGCATGGCAAAATTAAGGAACCTGGTAGGGATTGTAGTTCCTTGTAGTTGTAAGTACTAAGCAGGAGGTAGTGATTGATTTAGTTGAGAATGTTCCCTATTTGTCTTGTGGTAACTTGCGTGTATGGATGCCGACTCAAGTCATATGCCCAGTAATGTGATGATAGTGTCTGCGCCTTCTGTTTCTTATGGGGTACTGGGACGCCCAAGTGGTCAACCAGACTAAGCTGCCATGAGGCTTCTAGTGAAAAATATGCTTTCTTTGAGCAACAAGAAGTCTTCTAGATAGTGTATGACTGTAATGCCTCTGGATATGTTATCATAACCAGCACAGAGTATCTGCGAATATCGATAGTAGGCTAATCTGTAGCTCGAAAGTTGAGCAGGGGAAAGGATTGCCCAATTTATGCCATGTAAGTGCCAGTGTGTAGGGTAGATGGTAGCCGTTTACTGCGTTGATGATATTGGTCTTACTTAACCAAGCTTTAACCCATGCTTGAGTGATAGCTGTAAAGGTAGATCAATGGTGTTGTATAGTAAGAAAAATCCTCGGAGGGTATGAGGGAGTTGAGACTTGGGGTAGCGGAGGTGTGTGGTGCCAATAAGTCTATGGTTAGTCTTTGTTTAAGAGAAGATTCCTTGTGACAATACCAATGTGTTTGTGTTTGGTGCCATGCTGTAAATGGTGGAGATTGGAAGACCCCTCTGCAAATCTTGGCTATGAGTGTGTTTTCAGCCAATGGTTTTGTTGTGCTGACTGTAAGTGAGGGCATGCTATATTCCTTGAAGGTGTGTTTATGATACCTGTATGGGAGCCCTTTGAAGCTCCAGAGCTTTAGTAAATCTACTACAAGTCTGGAAGGGTGATGAGTCAGTAGTGTTGAAAATGCATTGGTGTGTACAGATGGTGAGTACGTTATTTGTAAGTTGTATTGGGCCACATGGTTTGTCATGTGCCCTGAACCATTTGAACATATATGCAACAGTCTATATGCAATGCAACTACTCATATCAATGGTCTCTGGTAGTTCAGAGGTGCTGGTACCTGGAGCCTGAGAGTGCTCATCCATTTGTTTGGGACAGAATCCCTTCTGTATGGGTACCTGCACAAATAAACATCTCTACATATTCCAAATACCAACCCATCCAAGAGATGGTCAGTTCCCGATTTACCTGGAATCCCTGGATCTGACCATCACAGATACATCATCATACATATATATGCCTTGCTTCCCCAATGTGCTGGGATCATACGTGCAGGGTTAACATCTTGTGTGTCATAAGAATTGATTGTACCAGGTAACAGAGTTTCGGTTGGTGCTGGTTGTACAGTAACGTGAGGCCCAGCCTTGTGAGGGCTGTGGTGACCAACTCGAGATTGCCAGTCTGTCATAAATTTTTGGCTCATGAGTTTATGAGTGAGGCTAGCATAGCCTGGGTGTCACCTGAGTTGATGTAGCTGGGCCTTCCCCTGCCTCCGTGTTGTCCGTTGATGTATGGAGGAGTTTGAATAACTCTGCTTTCCTTGCTGTAGCAGGGTAGGGAATTTGTCACCTCCTTAGGTCGGTGGTAATGTGTGGGATCGTCCAGGATCTGATTGCTGCTGGACTAGCAACATCTCCTCTGCTTGAAGGTGTATCCATTCTAGCCGGGGTGCTAGGAAGAGGTGATTCTTCACCATCTTTTTGAGAAATACTTAAATAACAATAAAGATTGCAATTATTTGTACCCAGGGTTCTTGTACTGGCTTGCTAGCTAAGCCGTAAGGCGAAACGATTAGGCTTGGTGTTTTTTGGTGACTGGTGAGGCCCTGCTAGTTGCCAAGTGGCTTGAGAGGCTCTATCTATGCTTGGCGCGAGGGGATTTTGTGTGGCCACCGAACGTTGTGGCAGGATGTTGGCCTCTCGGTGACAGTAACCAGAAAATAGGAAGGGGAGTGACAGGTGAGGCCCTCTCTATGATACAATGCGAGGCGGCTAGCTCACGAGTGGCCCGAGGGGTGTATGCCTCCGAGTGTGAGGCGGGGTGTTGGCCTCGCGGGACCACTAACCGAAGCATAATGCAGAGAAAAAAGGGGGTAATACCTATTGGGCCCTAGAACCCTAATTGCCAGTACACTATTACTATTCCAGGGAAGGTAAGAGATGGATAACTACGTGAGCAGGTGTATGTACCTGGTAGTATGGTATTGAACCTGACAATCCGTATAGGTTTTTTAGTAGTAACTGTAACCTGAATGGATAAAACCGTATGGCATAAGGAAATATGGCATAGACCAAGCTTATCTTAATACGTACAGTATATGTGAAAAGTAAAGTGCCATGATGTGTAAATATTAAACATCGTAGCCATACTTGTTAAATATGTATCAATCTTAACCCATTAAGTGCCGTATGTACAAGTGAAAATGTGGTCTGTCCCCACCTTGTATGTTGTATGTCCCCTTGCTAGGGGAAAGTCTGTTGCGTGAGCAGCGTGCTGTGAAAAATGTATGTGAACTATATTACCAGTTACGTATATACAGACGCGTCTGCTACTGTGTAATAATATATGTATTTATACCTGATGTTGATATAGTGCTTGCTATGTGAATTGTTGTATGTCTTATTGAATGGTAGGGGTCAGTGAACATGGTGTTGCAAAAGGCAAGTGCACTGGAGATCTGCCGAGTGCCCTATAGGTGGCAGTGTAATTGGATACTGATTGGTATGTGAAATGTTGTTTGTCTGTTGACCTACAGGTGTAAGTGTTTTGGTGTTTGTAAAACCCCATGAAAATTGTCAATGTACTTGACAGACCTGTAGGTGGCAGTGTTGATAGAACCACTGTTGGTCTTGATGTGAAATGTTAATTATTGTGAATTAGACCTGAATTTGAGCCCGTGCTGGAGTTTCATTATGGTTTATGGTTATGTTTAACCCCTAAAGGACCAAACTTCAGGAATAAAAGGGAATCATGACATATCACACATGTCTTGTGTCCTTAAGGGGTTAAAACAATCTTATGTGTAATTTATATTGGCTGGTAAATTGTATATGACATGTGAAGACAGTTTTGCTGTTGACCAGTAGGGATCATAAATGCTGATTGTATGGTAAAAATACCCTTTAACCCCTTAAGGACCAAACTTCTGGAATAAAAGGGAATCATGACATGTCACACATGCCATGTGTCCTTAAGGGGTTAATCCTACCGTTTGACAGATAGGAGTCAGTATAAAAGCGAAAATGCTGTAGTTAGTTTGTTTGCTTATGAAGTGAAATAAAGTCTGAGAAGCCTGTAGTATACCGATTGACCGGTAGGGGTCAGCATGTAGGCGAAAATGCCGTGGTTCGTTGGTTTGTACATGAAATGCAATAATGTCTGAGGAGCCTGTAGTACACTGAATGACCGGTAGGTGTCAGTGTGTAGGTAAAAACGCAGTGGTTTATTGTTTTGTACACGAAAAGCAATAATGTCTAAGAAGCCTGTAGTACACCGAATGACTGATAGGGGTCAGTATGTAGGTGAAAAATGCAGTGGTTTGTTGGTTTGTACCTGAAATGCAATAATGTCTGAGAAGCCTGTAGTACACCGAATGACCGGTAGGGGTCAGTGTGTAGGCAAAGATGCAGTGGTTCGTTGGTTTGTACATGAAATGCGATAATGTCTAAGAAGTCTGTAGTACACCCAAAGACCAGTAGGGGGTTTAAACGAATGATATGCATGAACATGCAATGGTTTTAGAACAGACTTAGACAAAATGCAGCAGTAAAGTGAGGACCTGACCCTTGCATGGTGCCGTGGGACTGATGCCTGGCGTAATGGGTAGGTCAACTTACGGTTTGTGAGTCACTTGGACACCATCCACAGCGATAGATTGAAGAAAGAAGGTGGTAGGCCGGAAAAGCCTGTGGCTGGATTCCTGACACAGCTCAGCTTAGAAAACCTCATGGAGTAATCAGGTAAAATGGCGTCTGGATGACCCGGAAGTGGAAATCATTCTGATGCTGACCTCAAGCGATATGAGTCAGGTAAGGGGTGTCCCTTATATAGGGGAGTGAATTAATTTAAGCCCCTCCCACAAATACAGGCAAAACTGCCTTAATACATATATATATATATATATATATATATATATATATATATATATATATTTTTAAATATCTAAAAAGAGCAAGGAACACCAACAGTTGCTGGACCTGGGAGCAGAGCCGACAAAGCCATTAAACCTTAAATCTCTCACAGATATGCTTTACGGTGTTTGTTTTTTTTTTTTTCTCATTTATTGTGGCTCTCTTGGAATTGGGAGTATCCTAAGATCTTCTGCAGAAAACATTCTACATAAAATTTTCATACAGAACACCTTCTCATGTCTCATCGGATTGGGCTCTTCCCTACGTTGCATGTTATGAGTTTGAAATACAAATGATTTTTAATCTTCGTTATTGAATAAGATACAGTGTTGATTCCACGCCGTTATAAACATTATAATGTCATGTTTTTCCTACTTTTAATAAAACCACGAAGCATTTACTTTAAAATTGCATAACGTGTACTAGTTGACTAGTCACTTTAAACCAATCTATATATTAATGATATATTCTAATCATCAAAACCACTATAACTTACTGTATCTCCTGAGTGGACTGTAATACGATTTATGGCAAACTAGGGGTCTCCAAGTCCCTGGTCTCTATATAAGCTAGGGTTAAGGTGGTCTCAACTTTGCTGAAGGATCAGAATAGTTTCTTCTGCTTTTGATTTTTTTTTGGTATCCGCTACATGTGTATCCTTTGATTTAGTCTCAGTACTATAGAGCAGAGACATGTTGAGAGAAAAAGGTAAGAGAACACCTGGTTATTTTTATAGTGGCATCTCACTATTGTTAGTCGGAGAAAGGGAGCTACATGTCATGGTAAGAGAAAGTAGCAAACAGCCAAGGGCCAAACCACCAAGAGTTAGAATTCATATTATTTTTTTTTTAAATAAACTATTTTGTGGATTTTTTTGTGAAATATTTACTTGAATTCATTCAAAGTATCCAGGACTCTGCAATTTAACATGCAAGCATCCATTAGCAGCAGGAACCCACTAATTACTAGGAATCTCTGCTGAATTCAGCTGAGCTCAGCCAAGACATTTCTGATGTCTGGTGGATTTCTAAAGTGTTCATGGAAAATAAATACGTAAAAAGAATGTTTAAAATGAGCTATTAATCTGCACCAATTTGTAGAATGTGTGAGTTGGTGACCTGTTCTATACGGAGGCAAGAAGAAGCATCATATGAATTCTAGCAAGACATAAAATACGAGAGAAAAGGGCAGGTTCAGGGCTACTATTGTGGCAGCATATTGCCATTCAAGGTGTTCTACCTGTAGGGATATTTAGAGAATTCAATTTGAAGTTGAAAGTGAGAATTCAAGGTAAAGTTCAAACGCAAGGTAAAAATAATAATACTAAGGAAATTCTCTAAGTCAGTTATGCTTATACTTTGGGATAAAGTTAAAAATTCACTTTTAATACGTTTTGAATTCTCACTTCAGTCAATAACCCTGTGGGGTCTATAATCTGTTTTGCTGCTTTTAAGAGCAGTGCCTCCTGGTGGCCAGTGACCACGAAGAAGCATATACATTTATAAAGCAAAATTCACAACATAATTTAAAATCTTAATCTAGATGTAGTTTCTTTTTGGCTTATTAAAACCCAATGACTGGAATTCTTACCGGACATATTTTGTATGTGGAGGTCTGGCGTGGTGCATGGTTGCAATCCCTGATGATATGTACCGATCTTTCCTTCTCTCGATCCGCCGAACGTTCACAAAATCCCTGGTAGACACGAAGGCGAGTGTTATAAAGGAACTGAATTAGAGAATTTAATGGGAAAAACAAACAAACAAAAAAAAAATCTCACCTAGGAGACACCACTCCAGCAGCAGCTGCGGCAGCCACATCATATGACACCAAAGTATTATCGTCCACTCTTTGCAGGATCTATGGTGAAAAGGAGGAAGTTTTTAAACCCCATCCACATACAACAAGTACAGGGGAGGACAGATATGTAGTGCGGCGTGCAGTAAACTTCGGCGTTTATTGATATTGATAAAACCTGGACTATTGGAGGTTACAGTAGAATGCTTAGAGCAGGCATCCCCAAACTCCGGCCCTCCAGATGTTGCTGAACAACAACTCCTATGATTCTCAGCCTATTTCATTCAGAGATTCATGGGAGTTCTAGTTCAGCAACATCTGGAGGACCGGAGTTTGAGGAAGCCTAGCTTAGAGGATTGTATTAAACTACACGAAGTCATATAGTGGCTATAACTATCCAATCATCCCTTGCAGTATGCATTCACTTATTTTTAAAGTAACTGCATTGTGTCTTGTACTGCACAAGAGATGAACTAGTTTGCCAGAGGGGCTCCGTAGCACCATAACAACTTCAGCTTATTGAAGACAGTTCAAAAAATTAAACAAAAAGCTGAAAGAACAGTACCCATGACACCACTATTACTTCAATAAGCTGAAGTGGTTATAATGCCTAGAACAGGGGTTGCCAAAAGGTGGTTCCCTAGAGGTTTTAAAACTACAGCGTCCATGATGCTTTTTTATTCTAAAAGGCATGCAAAGGCATACAAAGCATCATGGTAGTTGGAGTTCAACAGCATCTGGGGATCTACCTTTTGGACACCTCTGGCCTAGGATGTCCTTTTAAAATAAAAAATATCACCATACTTTCCATTGGAAGAATCGTCAGGCCTTTTCAAATGAACGTACAATCTATAGTTGGTGAATACTGCATAGATGACTGTAGCTATCTAACAGAAACCATGGAAAATCATGCTGGTATAGGAGTTATTTCAAACATAATATCCCATTGTTTAGTGAATGTCATTGTTTGTGAGGAGAGAGAGAGAGAACTTCCTTTTTTTTTTATTGCTCCAGCATTGCATAGCAATAACAGGGAAAGGAGTGGGTTAATTCCCAAACATGTTACTCATTTGACTTTCGGTAATCGTTCCCTGTGCCACATACAAAGAAATGTTTCACTTCCTTTAAAAAGCAAGGCTTTAGTAATGCTTAACTTTTGTTTTACGGATATTAATTTACTCTGCAATGCCACAATGGACCCTTTTGAATCTTTTTCACTTGGCCACATCATCAGTTTTTGTCAAATTTAGTTTTTTCACATACATATAATGAATGGGGACATTCAGAGACCTACTAATGCGGACCCGAGATTTCTGCTGCATGTCCTAAGTTTTATAAATAAAAAAAAAACTTTGTCAACTTTTGGTGGAAGCTATAGTAAAATATGCCCTTATTTTTATTTTACACTCCTCTTTTGTGCTTCCCAGAGACGCTGTAGCCAGTGTCAACCTCTCATGCTATTTCTAACACTGGCTGATCCTAAAACTAACACAAACCCCAACAATGAACCAATTAGTGAGATAGCCAGCAATAGCCCATTTAAAACTGGTGCCAGCCTGCACAGCCTCAGCGGGCAATCAAGGCACGGGATTTTCTTCTTAGAGCAGTAGTTTAAGGGGGTGGGAAGCAAAGCTTTATTAAGTTTACCCTTACTGTTGTGTCATTTAAACAAGGGTGCTGGTTTAATATGTAAAATTCAGATGATAAAAAAATAAAAAGGAAGCCCGCAAATAGTTTTTCTACTTCACAAATATATCACAGATTCTGAGTCAGCATCATAAACGTAATCTCTTCAAAAGTCAAAGCAAGTTACATATTGCTGCTCTAGATAAGCAAATGAAACATAAACATCAAACAGCACTCCTCATCTGAAAGATAGATTTTTCCCTATTCTGCCAGTTTTCATCACCATGTAAATACTGAGAGTTAATCTTACTGTGACTGTAATACACCTAGGCCAGCTTGTACATGGCTTGCCATTAATATTACTTATGAAGCACCAAGAAATTTGGCAGTGCTGTACAATAGGTGGACTAACAAATATTTGCAACAAGCCAAGTTAGATTCATAGGAACAGAGGGCGTTAAAAGGCCCTGCTGAAACAATCTTACATTCGGGGGGAATGCAAGGGGCATACTGCACATCCTGTCCATGTGTAGGACATCATAAGGTGAGATTGGCACAGCAGCTAACGTGGACTTTGTTTCCCACAGTTCTCAGTCAGTCTTTTGGATGGATAACCATTATGGTAACCGTAACATGCCAAGGAGAGTGGTCCTGTCTAATGTGGACGTCATGTGAAATTAAATCATTTTGTGGTTTTTTTCGAGTTCTTGATTGTAAGATTATTAATTCCACATACTGCTGAAGGGGACTTTCAAGCCTTGACCAACATAATGTAGAATTAATAAGCATCCCAAATTATGGTGAATTATCAAGCCCATCCCTACTATCCCACAGACATTTTTCCATAAACATGGTGAGACAAAAACCTGCTTGTTAATATGCTGATATTCATGTGTTCTGATACGAAATTAGATAGCCACAGTGGTTTCTTTGGAATTTTGCAGATGGAACTGAAACGCTCCCTTCAGAGTCTGTCACAAGGCCATCGGTCAGGAGGACTGATTTGGGGCCAAGTGCTTCTTGTAATTTAAGACAGTGATCAAGCAAAACTCTAATCCCAAGTAACTCATAAGAACCCAATCCCAACAATTTCATCAATACCTAGTGCCCAGCTCAAACACTCCCTCATTCTAACAACTATCCCTTCTGCGGCCCAGTGATGCTTATCTGGCAATATAACATGTCTGAACCTTTCCCTCTTAATGTAGCGTGGCTAAATGGTGTCCCGAAAGAATTCCAAGATGAAGAGCTCTTTCTTCTCACAGGTCTTTCCACTAAGAAACCAACACACAGAGCTTCCTGTTCCGGTGCGCCAGATCTTTAGTGGAGAGCTCTGCCAGGAGAAAGAGGCCTTCCGCTCAGGACTTTGGCAGGACTTGCCCAGTCACACTACATTGGGGTTCGGAGGGAGGGGAGATGAGATTAGAGGTGGAGACACAGTCTGCACATGTCCTGCTTCTCTGCACGGCACGACACGACAAGAGTGCCAATGCATGTCTGTATGTTTGTGTGCCAATATTTGTGCACCTTTGACTATGTCATCAAAGTGCACCTTTGACTATGTCGTAACTATGTGCGACTATGTGTGTATCTGTCTGAGTGTGTATACAATTGTGTATCAGTTTGGGGTTTAATGCACCATTTATGGGGTTATTGAACCTCGGTGTAAGACTATTGCAGAGGGTGAGGAAGTTAATGCTGTTGTCATTGTTTTAACGTGGAGAGTGTTGTGTTAATTTAGCATGGAGTAGGGTTAGTTCTGCAGATGCACGTGTAAATGCTCAGAGTACAGATCTATGTGTATGTTTGTATGTGTCAGTACAGATCTGTGTGTGTGCCAACATCTGGGTGAACCATCTTTGTGTGGGTATCTAGGGGTTCAAGAAGATAGATAAAACTTTACTGTAACTTCTCTCTTGTGATGGCAGAACTCACCTGGCTACAGTCATGTGGTTTGAAATAACAATGACAGTATTTCCATTGCCTATGAACACTTGCAGGGTTATGTACTAAAGTCGGCATTGTCAGAAACCCAAAGTAAATTTAAAATGTAAAGCCAAAGTAGCCGTACTGGAAGAATAGCAGACTTGAAGTTTTCCAGTTTAGCTACTTTCGCCTTAAATTTGGAATTTACTTTGAATTCCCAACAATTCTCACTTTAGTGAATAGCCTTGTATATAATAATAAAATACATTTATTAAACTATTCTTGTAAGAAATATAGACCCAAACAAACTCTTTACAGAGTGCTCTAGGCACAAAAGCGCAATAGAAGGTAAAATATATATAAATGCAAGCTTTGCTACAATATGGCAAATAATTATTGTTTGTAAGCAGAATACCAACAGATACTTTCCAAAACTGATCAATACTTAATGTGAAGACACGGCACCTATATTTCTATGCACAGAGGGTTATTTATTTGCCATGTCCGCTCAGCAGACGCTCTAACCAAATGAATGGCAGCATCCGGCTTCTGCAGCTCTACAGGACCCGGATAAATGTCACCAGGCAGGATAGGAGCCTAAGCAGCTAGGGGGGACCTGGTAAAAGGGAGAAAGCAACTGTGCAAAACGTGTTGCTTCATTACCAGAGAACAGTTGTGGGATACTTCTGGCATCATAACTTTTAGTAACCCTTTAAAGGGACACTATAGTCACCAAAACAACTTTAGCTTAACAAAGCAGTTTCTATGTTTAGAACATGCCACTACAGTTTCATTGTTCAATCTCTACCATTTTGGAGTTAAACCACTTTTGTTTCGGTTTATGCAGCCAAAGCCACACTCCCCTGACTGCAACTCATAAGCCTGCACGAAAATAAATTTGATCCCCTCCCCCCACCTTAGAGCACAGTTTGTTCACTTTAGAAGTTCTTATTGTGAAGAAAATAGACTTACCTGTCATTTTCTCCCTTTTTATTCAGTATTTTTATATGTTAATACTTGTATATTGAATGGATTGGTTCGGTAGTTTGAAACTACCGAACGCCGACCACCCTCCTGGCTCATTTACTTCAAAAGAAACCAGCCATTAAGTCCTCCCTGGGCGGCCGCTGTTCGTATAACCGAACGCCACGTGGAAAAGAAAACGGTGTCCATCTTGGTCGTCGAGTGTCTGGAACTAAAATCGGACACTCGACCTCACGAACTACCGAACACCGGCTTCTCATACTTCCCGAACAGCCAGGAAAGCCTCATTCGGTAGTTCTGTGCGAACGGACAAGGGGAGCAATCGCTACTATGAGCCGGGGGATCCATTCGGGACTTTTGTTCGTTTTTTACAGTTTTGTGAATTGACCGACCGCACACGCTGAATTCATGGAACTGTTTTGGGCAGGAGCTCCGTGTGTGGTCGGTAAAAGGGACCCTCCACACTTTTTCAGAACCCCTGAACCGATCGAATCGGGGCTGTCAGGGGATATGTAATTTGTGGGGATACCTTGTGGGGAAAGGGGTGTTCTAAGTTTTGGGGAAATTGTGTGCTCTCTGCCTGGAGATAATTGGTTTATTCCTTAACTTATCTCAATATCTCCCAGGCAGAGAGGAGGCGTGTAATACTGTAAATCTGTGTGATGATTGGCTGTTGCTTTTGTTTGCGGTGGGAGGTCCTCTTGCAGGAGGATTTCTCATAAAAGCCCGTGTGTTTTCAATAAAGACTATTCCTGTTACACCCTTCATGAAGTCTAGGCTCATGTTTGGAGTATATTCTACTTGCTGGGAAGAATCACCTTGGAACTGCATTTCATCTATTCTATTCCTCTACTCCCTGCTGCAGCTATAATCACTCATGCTCAGCTGTTGGGAGAGGGAACCAAGACCACAGCACCATAACCACTGCAGGTCTTAACACTTATTTCCTGCTCTGTCAAATTCATTTAGACTCTTTCAAGAAGTGTGCAGGGAGGCTGGGTGAGTCGCAGCCAGGAGAGAAGTGATTTAGCTCCTAAATGGCAGAGAATTGAGCAGTGAGACTGCAGGGACATAATCTATACACCAAAACTGCTTCAATAAGCTAAAGTTGTTTTGGCGACTATAGTGGTCCTTTAAACTCTAGTCCACAGGGAAAAGTAGTGGTTTTATATTCTGATGAAGAGTTCAAGACATGTTTCTAGTAAGCAAAAGACAAAAAAAAAAAAACAACAACAAAAAAAAACTCTGACCTGACAAAGAGCCACGGTCCTGTTCCACAAGACCATCTTCTCGGGCTGAAGTATTACTTCTTGGTAGACACTCTCAGCTGGACACTGCATGAGAGCCTGTGGGTATGCACAGAAGAGGCAAGTCAATGTCTGGAGTACAGTATAATTTATACATAAAACATGCACACAAAACATTGCTGCTTTCATTTATTTGAAACAAACATTCCGACTTCAACAAATTGTTGTTCCTATACGATCACTCTCTTTTAACCAAAAAGACATCCAAGAACGTCATAAGAACTTTTGTGCCAAATCATAGGTATACCTTGAGAATGTACGTCTTTCCATGAAAAGGTATTTCCAATGCATATACAGCGTCACCAACTTCCTGATTGTGAATGAAATGGAAACAGAGAACGTGTTAATGAACGGTGCAATAACCGTAGCACATATAAAGGACTATGAATACAAAGAGTTCCACTGACACGGTCTATGATCAGTGTACGAAGAGGAGAGCAAGTCGCATAGTAAGGAATAGGGGAAGGAATGATAAAGCAGGTGAAAATAGGGGACCATTGCAGGTAGAGGGGTACAAGAGACTCACATTGCTCTTCTCAAACTTCCAGTTTGCTTCTTGACCGAGGATCTGATCTACAACTTCCATTGCTTCTTTCCCCTGCCTCACATACTCTCGTTCCTGCTCTGTTACAGCCCTTCTTCCAACTGTCTCCTCATCCTCATCAAACTCATTATCGGATCCTGTGGGGACACAGGGTGCAGAATAGTTTAAGTCTTATGCTGCTATAAACAGATATGGTTGTATTTATTCCAGTCCATATGCATGATAGGTAATAGAGATACCTAGCCGAGTTAAGTGCTACATAAATTCATAAACAGGAAGATTACCTGCAAATGACTCTGGTGGAGAGTAAAATTGTCCTTCAGAAAGAGCTCCGGGGTATAGGAGTGCAGGCCGCGAAGCTGCAGCCTGGGCAGCTGTATACCCTACAAGGCACACAAAAACAAAAAGTTTCACCACACTGTAAATGGCTTTAAACAGAGAGAAAGGGCAGATTCGCATGCGTGCATAGTGACAATAAGTTACAGAATTAAGTAATGCAATGTTATTAAAGCCCTCTAAGGGGAACAGTCACTTCTCTACAATTTACACATTAAAAAGTCAACAAGTGCATTCCATTTTATTCTTCTGATAAGTTAAAAAAATCACATGAAATTTAAATGTTACTTTTTAGTTCAACTCAGTTAACATTACAGAAACATTTACTAATTTGAGAGAAGCCATCTTCCCAAGAAGATGTATACACTGCACGAACATGGAGTCGTGAGATGTTGTCTAAACTCTAATAAATATGAAATGTTGATTATATTTAAGGCTGGAAAGGTCTCAAGGTTTTGTAACAGCCGGAGATCTATCACAGGCTACCCCTAGCTAATGGAGAGTGAAAATAAAAAGTGTGACAAGCTGGAGTTGACTTCAAGCACCTTTAACAACCTATGTCCATTGCGCAGATTATCAAGCATTACTTTATTATTTTTGCAGCATGCACAACCCCACACCTAACCTTACTGGTTCTATGAGAGAGCCAGAAACGTGACTGTGCATATGAGCAGTCCCCGGCTCAAGTAAACACTGTGTGGACCACATCCATAACATTGTCAAACTGATAGTAGTCATGGGTAGAATGCAATTTGCTTATTCAGCTGCTGGGAGCTAAACTGCACGTTAACAGGAAAGATTTAGGAGTTAAAAATCAGACCCCTATAGGCCAGAAGAAGAATCTTCTGATGGGTGGAGCCTCTTCCTCGGCTAGTTAAAGGGACACTATAGTCACCAGAACAACTACAGCTTATTGAATTTGTTCTGGTGAGTAGAATCATTACCTTCAGGCTTTTTGCTGTAAACACTGTCTTTTCAGAGAAAATGCAGTGCTTATATTACAGCCTAGTGATTACTTCACTGGCCACTCCTTGGATAGCTGTTAGAGATCCTTCCTGGGTCATGGCTGCTTAAAATGCATCCAAACATTCAGTGTCTCCTCCCTCTGCATGCAGACACTGAACTTTCATCATAGAGATTCATTGATTCAATTCATCTCTATGAGGAGATGCTGATTGGCCAGGGCTGTGTTTGAATCATGCTGGCTCTGCCCCTGATCTGCCTCTTTGTCAGTCTCAGCCAATCCTATGGGGAAGCACTGGAAATGGATCAGGCCACCACTTCTGATGATGTCAGCAGACAGCTTGTTTTTTTTGAGGCAAACAGCATGCAGTTATAGCTTCCGGCTTGAATAAACTAAGATTTTACTATATTTATGAGGGGCCCGGGGGGGCCAGATGGCGGTTTTAACACTATAGGGTCAGGAATATATGTTTGTGTTCCTGACCCTCTAGTGGTCCTCAAACTGCGGCCTGCCAGGGTTCTGAACCCGGCCCAAGGAACCAGGGCCACCAGACGAGCCTTATATCTTCAGGGGCCCGGTCAGCGCTGCGGCCGTGCAATAGTGCGACCGGGCCCCTTTAAAAACATTGCAGCCGCAAAGTACTGCTTGGAGCAAGTGACGGCTGGTCACTTCCTCCCAGCTCCCTCCGCGCAGGAGGGAACAAAGCCAGGCCGCGGGAGCCACGCCGACTCCCATCAGCCACAGCCTTCCACCTGCAAAAAAAGGGAAGCAAAATTAGCTGTATGTGTGCATGTTAGTATGTATGTATGCCAGTATGTATGTGTGTAGGTATGTGTGTATGTATGTGTGTGTCAGTATGTATGTGTGCATGTCCGTATGTAGGTCTGTCTGTATAAAATAAAAGAAGAAGGTTAGCGCTAATAATATAAAAATACAAAAAAGGCAGCGGCCTAACAGAGGGTCACCCTCTAACCCTCTATAGTTTAATAGTACAAATTTGGATTTGTATACAATATATTATTATATTTTACACTAATAAATAATTTTGTATCAGTACTCTTTTATACATATATACACACACATATATATATATATACACATTATATATATATATATATATATATATATATACATACATATACACACACACACACACACATACACATATACACACACACACACACGTTCCTGGCATTTTAAATATCCAAAGGTGGGGATTATACCACCTACGCTATCATCCGAGTGCAGACAGGCCTGCACTCCACTTGTGAGTACATTTTATTTTAACTTCTACCTATTTTGATATTGTGTCACCAGAGAGCACTATTGGTTGTTCTTTATCTCTCTCCCTTTGAGAATTGGATACAAGCACTCTCCGGAGGACAAGCATTGCTATATCCCATAAGCGGGGGTTTATCCGCTGTATGCCCGTTACACTTGAGCTGGCCTTAGCTCATATAAATGTGAGTGTACAATTTATATCTTAATTTTATTATCACTTTTTTATACATTCCACACGATTGGTCCTTTCCCATTGTGTCTTTTATATCACGAGACGAACTACTTTCAACAGAGAAGACATTATAGCAGCTGAAACAGCAACTAAGAATATATACCTATCGGGACTGCTTTTTATATTTATTTCATTTTTATATTTATTTATCTTTCCTCTTAACCACATAAATTTTATTTGTGTAAATTTATTTCTCTTGGCGCAGACTTCCATTGTTTTTATATGTCTGTCTGTGTGCCTGTATGTATGTCTGTCTGAGTATATGTGCGCGCCTGTATGTGCGCGCCTGTATATGTGTGTGTGTGTGTCTATACGTATGCATGTGTGTGTGTCTGCATGTATGCACGTACGTACGTCTGTATGTACGTACGTACGTATATATGTGTGTCTGTGTATGTATGTCAGCATGTATGTGTGTATGTCAGTATGTATGTATGTATGTATGTATGTATGTGTCAATATGCATGACTGTGTATGTGTGTATATATGTGTGTATGTATTTATGTCCTTATGCGTGTGTGTGCAGTGTGCATAGGAATTCATTCATATTGTTTATTGTCCGGCCCTCAACAGTGTCTGAGGGACCGTGAACTGACCCCCTGTTTAAAAAGTTTGAGGACCCCTGCTTTAAAGCTCACTGCTGCCACTTGCTGGGGAAAGCCAGTAAATGCAAGATTCTAAACATATCCTCCAACCTGCTCCTCAGGCTTCCTCTCCCTGCTACTTTCAGGTAATAAGGGAATTTTGGAAGATATGCTACTTCATTTCATTTATTCTACCTTTAGTCACCAGAATATAATTTTTTTTAAATTTTGCTATTACAACAATGCCAATTATACCTGCAATTTACCACTGTCACATACTGTACATGCAGTTTTTGTATTTCATCAATACTCTGTGTACAGATAGTTTGCTCTACCCAACAACCCACCCCACACCCCTCTGCCTTGTTACTTGAACAAGAGGAGTGAAGGATCCTTTAATATGTGTTTGCACTTACATCTTTCCTCCTCTGCTTCTTGCGTGAGGACCTTGAAGTCTAAAAACCAGGTTTCCAGCCAAGCCACCACAAAGGATACAATGGGTAACACGTAGCCAAATGCTCCCTTTGACAGGAGCTGTGATAAAGAAAATTTGGATTATACAAAGGGAACGACAAATGTTGCAGTTCTGCTTTATGGAGTTTTATGGGATTTTTCCATTATTTGAAACAGGAAGTAAAAAATGATCTTCCCCCCACCCCCTCCTCCACCAAACAAACTCTTATAACGATAAATTACAATGCACGCGGATTTAAAAATTACAGAATTCTAGATAACACTACCAATCTCAACTTTTCACTCTCAGACTATAATACGTAAAAACTTAAGGTAACTTCTGGGTGTTTTTTTTTTTTTTATGAGAGATACAGTTTCTCCCAAAACAAATGCTGCACCTCTCACCTGGGACATGATAACCTTTGCAATGAGGAAGGCGCTGGTCACAAGGGTTGTGATCTATAAAGAAGAAAGGGAGATTTATAATGCAAGATGTATTCCTGACCCTACAGTGTTAAAAACAACATCTAGTCCCCCTAGCCACGCTAAATATAGTAAAAATCAGACCTCAAGTCTGCTGCTGCTGGCTCTGCCCCAGATCTGCTTCCTGGGCTGACATAATCGAAAGTGGTGATCTCAGCCAATCACAATGCTTTCCCATTGCAATACAATACAAAGTTGTATTCCTGAGACTATAATGTCCTCCTGCCCCCACGGCCACCTCCCTAGCCATGTAAAGGGTTAAATAACATTTTAAAAACATTTACCTCCTTCTCCGACGCCTACATGGCTCAATGCTTCCCCAGTGATTTTGATGATGTTAAACATTCTCATGCAAAACATCAAGGATGTAAATATCCATGAAACTCCAGGGAGCAATAGAAGCAGATTTAACACCGCAATGTAAACATTTCAGTTTCTCTAAAACTGGGGTTAAAGGAACAAGGAAGCCGCACCCAGACCACTTCAATGAGGTGAAGTGGTCTGTGTGCAAATAGCGTCCCTTTAGTGTCAGTTTTCCACAATACATCAAGTGATTGAAGCAGTCTTTAAGAAGACAGTATAGTGGATGAAATAGAGGGGTACAAGTATCACGCCTGAATAAGTGATCTTCAAAAAGAATACTTGCATTACACGATAGGATTTAAAGTAAATTAGGGGCCCACCCTATTCTGGGTGGACGATGGACACATTCTACAATGAGCACAAAGTTCACCCCCACCCAGTGTCGTGGCAGAACATTTCCAATTATGCCCTTTTATGGTTGGATATGAAAACAGCAGCAGTAATCTCATTTATATTGTTATGACAATAACACACTATCATCACGGACTACATTAAATATAAAACTGTCTACCAACCGACAGAAACCCATGCCCCTAATGGTCTGCAAAAGCCACCCAGATATTTGGGAGGCATGCAAACAGCTGAGAAAATACTCTCTTGCTGAAACAAGGATATTTTTCAAATATCCAATTTTAACGTACTGATAAATTATTATTCAAAACTTTGTCAACAATGGCCGTTTAGAAATGGTATCGCCATCTTAAATAAAAGATTTGAAGAGATCTCATACACTTACCGCTATGACCCACCAGTGACGGAGTCGCAGACAAGCGTAACCAAGGATAAGGAAGGAAAATCGGAACACAGCCAGAAGCTATACAAACACAGAGATACATCTAAGATCACATGACCAAATGACTAGTACACACAGCAATATGACACGTGTTTAGATATACCCCAAATGTAAAGATGCATAATGAAAGGAGGGTGGGGGAAACATTTTATCACACCAATGTGAAGATATTGCAGTAAAAAAACTGGGACTTTGAAAACTGAAGCTCCCTTTAAAAAATATGTCCAATAGGCCGCAACAATCAAGCCAGGCTTATCGGGTATATAAGCAGCTAAGGGTGTGCACTGAGGGAGTCTGGCTATCATTGTAGGGCAGGACAAACTAGACGCAAAACACATCGAATAGATCAGAGAATACAGTGATCTAACTAAAGAACAGCATTGGCGTGTGACAAGGGTGGTTAAAGGCAACACTTACAAATATGTCAAAGAAAGAAGTGCTAAATTTGTAATCCTCGACTTCAGACTTTAAATTCTTCTCAATTCCATCATTCGTCTGCAGAGGGTTAAATAAGAAAGAAATTAGAGAAAAAGGTGCTTCATTTTCCAGAACATAAACTGCTCACATGCTGCCCATGAAACATGGCAGAAATTTGATAAAAAGATGGAGAGAGAGAAACATTATATAAGACCTCAAATATATGGCTAAAATTGTATATAGCAACTGTTGTGGCTGCTAGTATGGGTTCTTTGAAAACCAACCTTCTACATTCTTCCGTTCTTGTGAAACATAGAATGTGATGGCAGATAAGAACCATTCGGCCCATTTAGTCTGATTTTCATTTAGGTGTATGTGCTTTGCCCTCTACACATTGACATCATATGGAGAAATCTACCTTCCATGTTGACTCATCCAAGTCTTTGCTGTTCAAGCCAGACTCTTTCATGTGGGTTCCCTGTACGGCATAGTGCACAATAATGAAAAATTTTTTGTCACTTTTATTTAAATATTTATCTAATATCTAATGCATTAAAGCAAGCCTAAAAAACAAACCGTCAAGTGGGTCAAGTCGAGCCATGAGCCATTAAAATCTCTTTTGCCTCCCTCAATACTTACCTTGGGCACCACATCTCCTACAAATGTTACTGAACAGCCAGGGACATTTTTCCTGCAGACACAACTAACCTTCTCTGTATGGACCTGTGGCTGCCAACGTGATCAATACTAACTCCATCTCTCTATATCAGACACTGTGACAAACAGAATGAATGAATGCACTTTGCTCTCTAATTCCTAATCAGCCTTTTTGATTTCTGTTGATACATGGCTGTATCAGAATAGGGCCAAAGGGTAGACAGAGACAGCACATTTTGTTTTCTCACCTATAAATCAAATGAGTAGTACCTTAAAGATGACTTATTTATAACGCAAACTCTTGCCACTGATAAAATTACAACCAATATCTTTACACCGCTTGCATATAAAATATACATACACAATACTTGCCCTCGTATAATTCACAAACAACCGGTAATAATTCAGGTTCCTACCATTGAACTGTTTATACATCAATTGCTAACCACATTACACAAACTCAAGATTTCAAATGTTATAAGCTTCCTGGATTCTCTAAATGCTCTGAAGTCCACATTTGCTAAGCACGCAGTTTAACCCCTTAAGGACACAACTTCTAGAATAAAAGGGAATCATGACGGAATATTTTCGTCATGTGTCCTTAAGGGGTTAAAAAGAAATGGGTCATGAGTTGTGCTTGTTAAATGCATTAAAACTGTAATTGATGAAAGATAATAATAGGAAAGATATGTACATTGTACAGCCCTATGGAATTTTGCTGGTGCTAAATAACAAAAATAATAATAATAATAATAATAATAATATGTAGAGCAGTGTCTCAAAGACAAGCTAAGAGTTATTTGGAAAAGTATGACTGTGACAAAAGGCTATTGTGCTAAGATCATACAGAGCACAAAGGCTGTTTACAACTAAGGCAGACCAAAAAAAAAAAAAAACACCCAGGCATAAGCCACTCTATTATTATTATTATTATTATTATTATTATTGCCATTTATATAGCGCCAACAGATTCAGTAGCGCTTTACAATATTATAAGAGGGGGGATTTAACTATAAATAGGACAATTACAAGAAAACTTACAGGAATAATCGGTCAAACGAGCTTACAGTCTATTGGAGGTGGGGTATAAAACACAACAGTAATGTAACCTTTATAAAATGAAGGGATTGTATACTACTGGTGATACTCTTTACATATACAATATTAAAGGAACACTCCAAACACCTAAAGTTTTTTAGAACGTGAAGAGTGTCCTCTTTGTTTACTTTACAAAAAGTGCAGATTTCAAAAGAAATCTGCACTTTTTTTTTTTTTTTTTTAAGATAAACATTGTTTTACAACCCCCCTGCCTGCCAAGCAGACATGTCCTGTTACTTCCTTGTTGTTCAGCTCAGTGGAGTTTGCGAATCTTTGACAGATAACAATACAGGAAGAATAAGGGCCCAAGTTGTTCTTCCCTCCCATTTTATTCTTTGGCCTATCTCCTCTCCAATCCCCCATTATAGACATTGTTGTTTACACTTTATTTGTAATTGACATAATTTTTTCATTGTTAAAATGAATTAAAACATAATCAAACTTGACAGAATAAAAGGAAATGTAGGTGGCAATAAAAAAAAAAAAAATACAGTGGTTTACGAATTTAATGCGTTCTCTGGGACGTTTCTTATAGCGAAAAATTTGTAAACTGAAACGCGGTTTCCCATAAGAATGCACTGAAAAAGCCAATTCATCCGTCCCGGAGGTCAGAAAAAAGTCAAAATGAGCTGGCAACCAACCCACAATACAAACCACGAACCTCAGCTACCTATCTTTCTACCGCTTGAGAAATGCACCCAGAAAGTTCCAAAAAGTCCCAAAACCATTGCAAAAAAATTCCAGAATGGCTCCAAAACTCGATGCAAAAGCCGCTCTAACACCTCCACACCACGTGCTACCCACAGACTCCAACATGCATGTGGGCGGCGCTATAAACCTCCCACGCGCATTGCATCCTGGGGAAACGTGCTTTGTATTGCAAAAAAAAAATTAGTAAATCGAGGCATAATTTTCAATGGATTTTCATTTGTAAACCGAAAATTATGTTAACCAAGGCATTTGTAAACCGAGGTCCCACTGTAAATAAAAATCTAAAAGATCAATGCATAGAAACGGTGTTCTCAGAACTGCAATACATTTGGTATGAATGGAGGGGGGAGGTCATAAACACACTTTGACAGCACTATTATTGGTTCAGTAAAAAAGGAAGGCTTCTATTGCTTACTTAAACAATCAAGTTACTAGATTATGTGCATGCAATTTAAGTATCATTTGACACACTTGGTTTGTATCTACAATTAAAGGGACACTCCAGGCACCCAGACCACTTCTGCCCATTGGAGTGGTCTGGGTGCCAACTCCCACTACTCTTAACCCTGCAAGTGTAATTATTGCAGTTTTCTTTTTATAAACTGCAATAATTACCTTGCAGGGTTAACTCCACCTCTAGTGGCTGTCTGCTACTAGACAGCCACTTGAGGACACTTCCTGGATCATAGCACAGATTATCTGTGCTAGAGCGTCGCTGGACGTCCTCACGCTGTGTGAGGACCTCCAGCGTCGCTCATTTCCCCATAGGAAATCGTCGCTGCCTCAGTTAAGTGACATCGTCGCTGCCTCAGTTAAGTGACTGAAGGGGTTTTCACCCCTTCAGCAACAGGGGATGGGAGGTGGGAGGGAGAGGGGACTTGCAGTGCCAGGAAAACTGATTGTTTTCCTGGCACTGGAGTTTCCCTTTAACCATTGCGTTAAAGTTGTCAGTGTTTGCACATGAGCAGAACTCCAAACACCTCCCTTTAGCTGATGATTTGTGGAAACAATTTTTTTCCCAATGATTGGTTAATCAATTAAAGCAAAAGCAAGTAGAGATTAAACACAAACAACAAACTAATATAGCTAAATTGATAACACAAATATATTTTGTACACTATACTTAAACTGTCTAACTTGAAAAAGCTTAAAGAAACATAATTGCATATCAGTTTGGAACACTGCACTGTAGAAAGGGGTCAAACAGGCAGGCGAGATTATTTCAAGATAGATCATTTTGTATGTCTTTAACCTTGTGATATTGATCTTCAGACTGTGCCATTACTGATGGCAATGGAGGTAAACACGAATAATATATACATAATATATACTATATTATATTATATTATATATACATACAGAAGCGTGTGCATATGATGTAGGAACTGCATCAAATGCACACAGGCGCAGTTGCACCATCAGAGTACCTTACCATATTCTGCACATGCGTTCTCCACAGTTGATTTCTCAACTTTCTCAAACAATTTCTCAAAAACAGACAATATGATTTTTTTCAGGTTAACCTACTTCTTATTGCTTATCCTTTCTACACCAACTCTAGGGGATGGTTTCTCCAATCGGTGCCTTATCCCTAGGAATGCTGGAAAAGTACATTTTGCATACCTGACAGAATTAGAAATGTGCAGTTGTAAGACCCCTTTCACCTTGAAACATCCTGACAGGGGGAGAAAGTCTGATCATTCAAAGCAGGCTCCAGGCAGGCGCAATGATGTATTATTTCGGTCATTAATGGACTAGTATGAAACTGGGGGGTGGGGGCTGAGCAAAATGTATCTCTCCAATTATGCAATCTGACCGAGTATATTGTAACATTTGTAAACATTTATTACATAATTTTCAAAGTGTTTCTTGCTTTATTTTGGTTTATTTGTTCTAAAGTGTTTGCTTCCTAGAAAAAAATAATTGTCAAGTGATGCATGTCCTTTTAAAAATAAATTATTTTGGTGCCTTGTGTCAGAGCTGAGACGTTGTTTGTATAAAATAAAGCTTTCAAAGTGCCGACACGCTTATATCCTCGTTATTTAGACAATAAGGAGAAGTTGCATCTTTAATATAAATGAAGGGTTTATTACTCTAACAGCAATGCTAATACACAGTGTTACATTCGGAACTTGCAGAAAGATGTACATCTTTCACATGGAATAGCAGCCAGTTATCAGGATGTAATGCATGTAACTAAATGAATGTAGCTGTAAGACGGGTGTAACAAGAAAGGAGACAGAAAGTTCTTATTGGAATTTTCACCCTAGATCACATGATTTGAAAACTTAACAAGCCTAAAACAACAGATATCTTTTAGTGTTGAAAAAGTGACTAAAACATGGGTTCACCTCATTCCCAGATTAAGAGCCCATTGGGCCAGGTGCTGACAATTATGATGGTCTTAATTACAGGACCTTATTGAAAA